GGGGATTTGCACCAGGTGAAGGGCAAATTGAATCAGACCGGCTACTGCAGCATACTGCAGCACCCACGCGATCCCATCTGGAACGCGGCTTGCGGGTTAAAGATTTGTACTCATGCAAGATAATGACCCAAAGCATACTAATAAACCCTGCCAATAGTACATTAAAAGTAAAGAAGAGGAGCATGTCGTTCAACTGATGTCTTGGCCGGCGCAAGGAGTGGACTTAAATTCCATTGAACTGGTGTGGAATGAAATTGACCAAAAAAAGTCAGAGCTGAACAACCCACAAGTGCGGCTCACCTCTGGCAATTCTTGCAGGAAAGCTGGGTAGAACTATATTCAGTCTACCTCCAGTCTTTGGTAGAAAGAATGGCAAAAATCCGTGAAGTAGTGATAGCGGTCAAAGGGGGTCATTTTGATGAATCAAAATTTGTTTTTTGTTTTTGTTTAATTCGTGCATTTAACTAAAACCAATGAAAAGCTTAACCTGTTTCATTGAAAATAACACTTTTAGGATTTTATTTATGTAAATTCTTTTCATAACGTCCAATAAGTTTAATGACATTATCATTAAACGAAGAAAGAAATTCACAATATTAATTCATATTTTTTAATACAATCTAAGCTTTCGGCTTACACAAGCCATTATCAAAGATACAACATAAAAACATATTAAGCAATATACGGACAAGACATTATAATATATATCTATCTAGATATATATATTATAATAAAAAGAAAGAACAGTGAGATATATAATCCCGTGTTCTAATTGATATTTTTACAAAACAGCGCTCAATATAAATTTACAGAGCATAAATATTTTAAATTAAATGATTTAAAATATGGTTTCTTCGCTTCACAGGAATTACCATGTTTCAAAAACCGAAGCTAAAATCTTTAAATTTAATTATATAATTAAATTAAAAGCATTAGTTCTGTTTCATCTTCAAGCAATTTTTGAATATATATATATATATATATATATATATATATATATATATATATATATATATATTTCTGTATTGTTAGTGTCTTGTGTAAGATTGCCCCAGATTACCGATGACACTAGAATAAAATGTATCTTCTGTTAGGTTTGTCTAGTTATGCCAGGTGTGAATTTGAATTACCTGAGAGATTTTATCAATGCCGAGGACAATGAACTTAAAAAAAAGAAGAAGAAGAAACTGAAAAGTGTTTGCTTGTGCCCGGTCATTTATATAAGAAAATCGATTGGTAATGAAAGACTAGAAATCATTTGTGGTGTAGGTGGCTATGCCTAGTATGGACAGAATCTGAAAGGTAAAGTCTCATATTGATCTTTCTCTCAGGTCTTGAATTTCTGTTCCCGCTATCTATCTATCTATCTATCTATCTATCTATCTATCTATCTATCTATCTATCTATCTATCTATCTATCTCTGTTTACTCATATCTATCTATCTATCTATCTATCTATCTATCACTGTTTACTCATATCTATCTATCTATCTATCTATCTATCTATCTATCTATCACTGTTTACTCATATCTATCTATCTATCTATCTATCTATCTATCTATCTATCTATCTATCTATCTATCACTGTTTACTCATATCTATCTATCTATCTATCTATCTATATATATATATATATATATATATATAATGTACTTGGGTTAACGAAGACTACGGCGCCTTCCTTGATGAATTCCAACTTAACATCAAGAAGCTAATTAGAGAATTAGAAAGGATTATTAGAAAAAATAGAGAACGGAGATATGCTGCCTAAATACACACACACACAAATACATATATATGTGTGTATGAATGTATGTGTGTGCGTGCGTGTGTGTGTGTATAAAGAGTGCAAACAAAGAGGTAAAGAAATAGAAATATTCATATCAGTGCAAATGCACTTATTTTATGACATTTGGATTTATATGGAGTAATATATATATATATATATATATATATATATATTACTCCACGTGGCGCTAAAAAAAGAGAGAGAGACTAATGACTGATCATTCCAATTTCTAACCTCTGTTTATTTTCATGGCTGAATTGTGAATTTTGTATCTCGGAGGAGATCGAAAGTACTTGTGTGAACAAAAACTACGGTACCTTCCTTGATGAATTTCATCTTAACATCAAGAAACTGATTAAAGACCTGGAAAGGATTATTATCAAAATAGACATATATCTATATTACTTAATGAAACATGCTTGAATCAAGATATGCTGCCTAAATGCACACACACACACACGCACACATATATGTATATATATATATATATATATATATATATATATATATATATATATATGAAAAAAAACTGGAAAGTTCTTTTTTGTGACTCGTTTCATTCGTTAGGATTTCACTGGATAAAACGTGCCAAAAAAAAGCGTCAAAACGCCATTCCAGATTGTCATATTTTTCTAAATACTGTTTGTTGATATATAAAATTATTATATATATATATATATATATATATATATATATATATATATATATATATATATTGATGCATGTTTCATTAAATATTATAGACAAGTTTTGTCTATTTATCATATATAAGTTCCTTTCATATTGTCTGATAAGCTTAATAACATTATCATTGAAGGACGAATTAAAAATTGGTGCCTAAATATACAAAATATATATATATATATATATATATATATATATATATATATATATTGCAATGTCAAAGATTGTATGAAGCCCTTAATGCCGACAGTTAGTGGGATACTGAGAGAAAAGACATTTAAAGCAAGCAGTCTATGCAAGAAATTGCTAGATATCAAACATAGAGTATTGATAGAATTAATATTAGTAAAAGTTTTGTCCTTTAGGTCATTAATGTTACCTTCAGCATCGCGACTTATATATAGGGAAAAGTTTATAATTGTTCCAACGAGAGAAAAATGCATGTTTTTTTAAAAAAGGAGAGAAACCGCAAACGTTTTGTGTTATAACGTGGATTTGTTTTAGTGTATATTATATACACTAAAACAAATCCACATTATAACACAAAACGTTTGCGGTTTTCGTCTTTCATATTGTAATTTTTTTTATAAAAAATATGAATCCATCGCGTGACAGATCTTACTATTTCGAAACTGACTCAAGTCGTAAAGTTTAATTTAAATATTAATCTTAAAATGTAGAGTACAGTTTCATTCTCATGCAGCGAAGAAATGCTTTACTCATTTATAGGTTTGAAAGAGAGGCGTACTCTGTTTTTGTTTTCTTTTGTTATCAAGGGGTTACTACTGTGATGAAAGCATGAATGTTTATTATATGTCAATTTTTTGGAGTCGTGTAAAGTTGGGTTGGGGGATTTTTGCCTGGCTACAATGGCCTTTTTTTCTCAGACTCTATTTTTTGTTTAGTATTTATTAAAACTTACTGATTGATGTTATAGTTAAAGTTCTTTTTTCCGTTTATTTATTTATTTTTTTTAATTGATGGTTTCTAAAAGGGGTGCTTAATCCCCTAATTTTATACGTGTCTGAAACTTATTCAGACTTTTGATCACGCCAGATTATACGGTCTCTTCCAGAAACTGTAATTAAGATCTGCTCAGATGGCTTCTTTATGCCCTGATCGGCTAGTCACACTAACAGACGGCTATTATATATATATATATATATATATATATATATTACTGAGTAAAGTGAATTCATCTGTTATAATAAAAAGTTTGCAAACTATTAACTTCATGAAGGGTGAGAATGCAAATGGACCCCTCACAGGATAATTTGTAATAATCCTCAGTTGAATGAATAGGCAGGAGAACGTAAATCATCTTCAGAAAGATCAACACTTAAAATGAAATTTGTTGATTTAATTTCTGAATTCATCCAACCCTTAAACTAAAATTTGCTTTCATAAGGTTTGTCCCTTAATCTGCACATTTGTCTCAAAATCAGGAAGAAAGATATTGCCATGGGTCAAGAATGAATGCAAGCATTACTGATAGAATAGGGATATATGTATAATGTAAATGCATTGCTAATGATTTTACTATAGGAATGCATTGAAAATCAGGAAGAAAGGGATTGTCAGTGGTCAGGAATGAATGCAAGCATTACTGATAGAATAGGGCTATTATATGTATAATGTAAATGCATTGCTAATGATGTTACTATAGGGCTGCATTGAAAATCAGGAAGAAAGGGATTGTCTGTGGTCAGGAATGAATGCAAGCATTACTGATAGAAAAGGCTATTATATGCACAATGTAAATGAATTGCTAATGATTTTACTAAAGGAATGCACTGAAACTCAAGAAGAAAGGTATTGTCATGGGTCAGGAATTAATGCAAGCGTTTCTAGCTGAACAAGGTTATATGGACAGAAGAAAAGTTTTTTGCTGGTAACTGTTGCTGAAATATTATATATATAGTGTGTGTTGTTCATTTTGCGCATACGCTTTTTATTTATGCATATGAACTAGAGCACGTCATTACGAATCCTACTTCAGAACAACTAATGATATATGGGCGGCCCTAGCAAAAAAAAAAAAAAAAAAATGTAAATTTATCAGAAAGATGCAGAGGCATAGGAAATCGATGAATATTTAGAAATGAAGGAAATAAAAATGCAAAACAAAAACAAAACAAAAAAATAGACAACTGGAGCATATTTTCAAAGTCCTCAAACCTTCCAAAGAGTTCTTTACGAAGCACATCCCTTTGTCCACGAAAGTCTTTTAATAATAAGAAACTGCATTCATCTTTTTCATTGTCAGTGTTGACGTCCAATTCTTGCACATCCGATTCTGGGTTAATATATTTTTATTTTTTTTTTTTAAATTTCCCTTTTTTGTTCTTTTTTTTTTTTTTTTTTTTTTTTTTTTTTTGGAGGGTGGAGGTATTTTACTTGAGTCCACATTCGGTGATGTACGTTTTCTTTTTTGTTATTGAATATCGAAGTGATTTTAAATGCAAATACAAAATAGTTAAACAGTTAAAATAATAGGCAGCATGTCCGAAAAATAAAAAAAATAGTTTAGTGTTGACTCCATTCGATTAATAAGGCTGTCCGGTTTACAAATTCGAATTTCCACTGCTGTGCTTTTTTCGAATTGTCGCAGGGGTTAGTGAATATTTCTTTCGTGTTGGGGTCACAATCCAAGCAACTCATCGTGGACGGATGATAAAGTAAGCGCGTTTCTATATTATATTTCCAGTATTGGTTACCTTTTTGACCGTGGCAGGAATAAAGTACAACTGGTGAGCGCGGAACGTAACTTGCTGAATCAAAACAAACGTTTCTTTTCCATGGACGCAAATCTTTACGCCAGGTGATTTCAAATTTCTGCTCTCCAGGAGTCCCTGCATCTTTCGTACACACATCCAACAGAAACCGTTTGTTAACCCCCTGAAAACGAGTGTCGATGCAAAGGTTCGAAGCGACGTTACGAATTTCTCCATGGGCGGAACTTTTCGGGATAACAGGTGGATAGTGTTTGACCAAATCAAATGCAATTTCTTCCATGAACCATTTGAACGATTTGCATTTGAGTTTCTTCCGTAGCTCAAGCTGACTGGTTATATTACCAGCATCGGCCTTGCCAAATTGTGGCATGTGTTTGTAAACGTATTTCTTATAGTCGTCCATCCAGACCTCGGCTACCCGTTTGTGATTATGACCGAGATAATCGCCTACGCCGCCCGCTGAGAAAGGGGCGAAACTGCGGTAGATATGGCCGATTCTGGAACAAGGAACGTCAACCATACGACCCCCGCACTGCCATGTCTTGAACGAGAGTTCGTACTGCTCGCCGCCCCATATTTCCAAGCCAGGATCATAACCGCCAAGTTCCCAGAACCAGGATGCTGAGATAGCGAAAAGTCCTCCAGCCATTACTGGACTGTCGAACACCTCTGCGGGCTTCTCGTCTGATTCTTTCAATTTAGGCAGTCTCTTGTAATCCATTCGCCAGTCAAAGGCACCGCGAGCCCCTTCGTCTTGGGCTCGATAAGCAAAAGTATTGTAATCGATCACGTCAATAAAGGGACATGTGACTGTCTTCCGGTCGTCGGCGATCGGCTGTAAAAGAGGCGGCAACCAGTTGGTATTGGGTTCCACGTGAGAATCCAGGAAAATCAAAACCGGACCCTTGGCTGCCCGTGCTCCAAGAAGCCGGGTTCGTATAAGACCTTCTCGTCGTTTGGCTCGAATTATTTTAACGTTAGTAAAATGCTTTTTGACAAAATCGGTTAGTTTCTCCTTACAATGAAGTTTGGAGCTGTAGTCGTCAACTAGGATAATTTCTTCGATTAGTTCTGTCGGCGACTTTTCCAGAACTCCAAACACTGTTCTCAAAAGGGTACTCCAGTGTTCGTTGTGGAAAGGAACCACAACGCTGGCTTTGGGAAGATGACGATAATAACGCTTATTCCAGCAGTTTGGATGGCGAATATCCTTAATACTCCTATGGAGGGAAATCTTGTCACTAGCAAGGCCATTAAAACCGTTAGCTATAAATAACTCCTGTTTTAATTTTTCCTCTTCTAGTCCTATGATAACTCCGACCCCTTGTTCTCCAGGCCCTATGCGTTCTTTATCCTCCTCTATTTTTCGGTAATCGTGCCAATCGATTAATTCTTTTGTGGTTTCGCTTTCTTTTTCTTCTTTGTCTTCGGAGAACTTTTCTTTGATGTGATTATCGACTTTATTGTTTATATTATCACCGTCATCGGAGTCATTGTCCTTGTTTTCATTGTTGTTTCTGTTTTGGACGTTCATTCTTTCCGTTTCACTTTTCTTCGCCATCTTGCGTAGGCCTGGTGCATGTACCTGGGCGACTTCGTTGAAATTCACTCGCAGACCGCGAGCTGCGTCAAGCGAAGGCCTTTCTAGCCTTTGTTTCAGGGAGCCGAAGAATGGCCATCCGATGAAGAGGAACGCAGCGACAAACAGGGCAAATTTCAGAATCGTTACCGAATGTCGCTTCATTGTCCGAGGCAAGCAAAATCCCAACACCCGGCGACTTACGATAAACGTCGAAGCAACGAAAGAAATCGATTTCAAAATTAAACAAAGAAATAAAATCGAATAAAAAAAGAAAGTATAAATTAAAAAAATAAAAACGTTAAAAAAAAACAGGAAAATCTAAAGAAAAAAAAAGACTTTGAAAAGAAACAAGAAGAAGGAAAAAATAGAAATTAAAAAAGTAACCCTTGACGAAGCCCGTTCACTCAAAACAGGAAGTAGCTGGCGTTTATACAGGAAGTAGCAAGCTTTTAGAGAGCAAGAGACAGATCCGCTTGTATTAGACACTACGATTCATTGTTATCTTTCTTTCATTGTTTCGAGCATCTCCTCTCCCTCTGTGAAAGTCTGTTTTCTTTCTTTTTTTTCCTTGTCTATTACATTCCTATCGTCTTTATCGAATGTCTATAAAATCAACGAGTGATTTGTTTAAACACTTTTTACACTATAACAACATCTGCACGCCTCTCCCTTATTATCTCTGTCCTCATTTCCCTCTTTCTCTCTCTTTCTCCGTTCCTCCCCTTCTTTTTCTCTCTCTCTCTTCCTCATTCTCTCTCTCTCCTTTTATCTCACTGTCGTTCTTTCTCTGCCATTCTTTTTCTCTTGTCTTTCACCTTCTTTCTTTCTCTCCTTCTCTCTCTCTATTTCTCTCTCTCTCACTCACTCCCCTTCTTTCACTACCTCCTTCTCGCTCTTTAGGATTTGTATTCCCTCATCTCACTCTCGCACAGTTATTTCTGTCTTTATACTCAGGTACTGCTTTGATCCACCCAACTCCGACCAACTGCTAAGTGATTAATTCGTACCTTTTTATCTGTTTCACTTTTAGGCTTTTCAGCAATCCGTTAATTTCTTTCTTTCTTTCTTTCTTTCTTTCTTTCTTTCTTTCTTTCTTTCTTTCTTTCTTGTTTTAGTTCTTTTCCTCATTTTTCTCCTCTCTCTGCCTTGAATTCTTTCTTTCTTTCTTTCTTTCTTTCTTTCTTTCTTTCTTTCTTTCTTTCTTTCTTTCTTTGCTTTGATTTTGTTACCCCTCTCTTTGTCCATCTTTCTGTCTTTGCTTCGCTTTGATTTCGTCTTCTCTCTTAGTTCTTCTTTCTTTCTTTCTTTCTTTCTTTCTTTCTTTCTTTCTTTCTTTCTTTCTTTGACTTTGTTCCCTCTTTTTGTTTCCCTCTCATTTTCTTTCTTTCTTTGATTTTGTCCTCTCTCTTAGCTCTTCATTCTTTCTTTTTTTCTTTCTTTGTCTTTATTTCTCTTTGTTCCCTTCTTTCTTTCTTTCTTTCTTTCTTTTGCTTTGATTTTGTCCTCTCAGCTCTTCTTTCTTTCTTTCTTTCTTTGCCTTTGTTCCATCTCTTTGTTCCTTTCTTCTCATTTTCTTTCTTTCTTTCTTTCTTTCTTTCTTTCTTTCTTTCTTTCTTTCCGTGATTCTTTTTTGAGCAAAGGCAATCTCTTTCAATCTTTTCCCTTTGATTCGTGGGCCATCTGTGCCCAACGCCGCACATCACTGGTTCGGCTGACCTTCTTGGATTTTCTGTTGATGTGGCATTTGCCGGCTGAGTTCCCGGCAGTAAATCAATAAACGTTCGATTCTCGAGGTAACAGGTGATATGAAATCGTATTTGAGTCCAGGCCACATCTGTGCAAGATGCATCGTGGAACAATAGATTAGTACATTATGTGCAGGAGCAGATATGTCCAAAGAGGCGAGTATAGGTTTAGAGCAACTTTCACAAACATACATACATGCATAAACTCTGTGCCTATACCTATATGTTTGATAGCGCCTCTCTCCCCCTCTCCCCCCTCTCTCTGTCTATGTCTTATATGATGTTCACTCTGCACAAGCCCCCAAAGCCACTCGAGATATATGTTACGGAGTAAGCGGCAGTGACTATGGAGATATCTGGGGAAGATAACGGTGGACCCCACATTTGAGCAGGTTAAGATTGTAGTGGTTGTGAAAGCATTCTCTTGGGAGTAGGTTCCAAAGAACAAGGATTCTATTCGATTTCACCATATATGCAATAATGGTAAAAAAAAAAAATAAATCAGAACATACCAGAAGCTTTAATTTTGAAGTTGCTAATGATGTAATTAAATAGTACTTATGGATTTTTAAAACATTTAACAGTTTATAGCTATAACATAACATACATACAAAAACAAGTTCTAGAATATCCCAGAAAGTTCTAGAAGGCTCCAAAAATGTTCTTGAAGGTTCCACAGAGTTATAAAAGGAACCAGAAAGTCATGGTACGACTATACTTATGTACGATATTAGAAGTTTCGTGTTGGGGTGACAGTTTTTTTTAAATGATCTTAATTAAATGCTATGTAAGAAATTTCATATGGGACATTGCAAAGAAGGAGTCCAAATTTTGGAGGCTGTCGCAATATTTAGCACCCCTTTAAGAAACCATCAACGAAAAAAAAAAACTGTAGGAACAAAATCAATCAGTAAGTTTTAATAAATAGTAATGAAAATAACAGAACCTGGGGAAAAATGCCATTGTAGCCAGGCAAAAATCCCTCAACCACGACTCCAAATATCTGACTTATAATAAACATTCATACTTTCAACACACTAGTAACCCCTTGATAATGAAAGAAAAAAACTCAGATTACACCTCCATTTCAAACATAAATGAGTAAAGCATTTCTTTAGTTAGTTATTCTAAACATCGCTTGAGAATGAAACGGTACTCTAAATTTTAATTTTAATATTGAAAGGACTTAAGTCAAGGCTCGAAACATAGAAGTTTCTGTGTCGACATGGAATCATATTTAAAAAAATAATTATATATATATATATATATATATATATATATATATATATATATTTAAATAAGTTTTATGATACAAAATTTAACGATACCTAGGAATATACAAAATTTATATGGCATTTTAAAAAAGCTAAAAAAAGAACAAACGGTTTCGTCCCAGGACTTATGAAGTTTATTTTTCTGGGATATAAAAAATATAAGCGTGTAAATTAAATTAATATAACGAATGGAAGGAAAAATAATATATATATATATATATATATATATATATATATATATATATATATATATATATATATAGATAGATAGATAGATAGATAGATAGATAGATAGATAGATGTTTACTTAATCGCTGTGAATAGAAAGTTAAATATTGAAATGAAACTTTAAGTTTCGAAACAGTAATTTCTGTGTCGCGATGGAATCATATTTTTTTTAAATAATTATAATATATAGAAATATAGTCTTAAGTTGTCCTATATTTATGGGATAAAGTGCTCAATATCAGAGATAGAGCGTGTGTAAATATAAAAGTGAACATAGAAGTCAACAATTAGAGGCGACAGCCTGTTTCATGCTAGATGGCCTGACGATTGCAACTATTGCATCTAGCATGAAAGACTCTAAGTGTTGACTTCTATGTTCACTATATATATATATATATATATATATATATATGGTGGTAATCGCTTGGAAAAACGTTGGGTATTTCGGCTTGTAGTTGAACAAACCAATACCCAAGGAAAAATGAAGAATAAGAAAGAAAGAACTAAGAACATGAAATTGAGGCGAAAACAATCGTCCAGAATTCAAACTCAGAGTCCAAAGAAAAAAAAATCTCCAAAACGAGTAAAAATCAACTACGTAAAGTGCTCAATACACGAAGTAGAGCAAACCTAAGAATAAACCTAAAGAGCCAGGTAAACCTACCTAGGTTTACATATATATATATATATATATATATATATATATATATATATATATATATATATATATATATATATTCTATTAGTAGATGTCCAAGTGCTATTTCTAACTCTTCCGACATATTTCTGTATCTGGTGAGCATTCCGTGTTTTTTTTTTTCTTAGCGCGAAGATTTTCCATTAAGAATCATCCATCCAAATTTTCTCGCCATCTGTTTTTCTCCCTTGCTCCCACTGATTTCTGTTGAATAATAATTTCTAATAGAAATCTTTTTCTCTGTTCTTTGGTTCCTCTTAAAATCTTTCGACCTCTTCGTGATCTCTGCAACATTGTTCTTGCCATTGATCTTTGTTTCGAAGTTTGATTGCAATCGAATTTGGTGAAATACCATTTATCACGCTCGTAACTTAATGCTGGCTTCATTCATTGTACACTTTATATACACATATCTATCTATATATATTTGATAGTTGCATATTTAGGCAGCAATACTTTGTAGTTAATATTGTTAAGAGTTGGTTTTTCTTTTTTATTATTAAAGCTTCCATTATTTTTAAATGCCCCTTAAGGAACTATGTTCCTGATCAAACCGGACTCATAAATAATTACATCGGTTACACAACTACATGCTTATCCAGACGGCTTACGTTACACCAATCCAATATTTTTCATTAAATAAATATAGACAAGTGTTGTCTATTTTATGTAAATCCTTTTCATATCGTCTGATAAGATTAATAACATTATCATTAAACGAAGAAAGTAAATCACAATATTGATATATATTTTTTAATCCTATCTAAGCTTTCAGCTTACATAAGCCATTATCAAAGATTGATGTAATTGTCATCTTTGATAATCTTTGTGTACTTATGTGAGAAACAATGAAATGTTGTTATGGATGTTTGTGTGAAAAAGTCAACATGTGTGTGCGTGGTTCATAGTAAAGAGAATACAAAAGAATTTGTTTTTATCTGTGGACGATGTTGCCGTAGTCTGAATCGGTCTCATTGAAGTTTGTCAGCGCTGTCGCTTTTAGCATGAGGTCGTGAAGTTCACAAGCGAGAGTGGCGGGGACCTTGATGACAGCTGTGTGTATCCTGTTTTATATACTTTCTCGTAAGAAAATCGACTCCACTTCCTACACGATAATAAAATTCCATCTTTCTTTTCTCAATCTTAAAAAGTATTTTCACACAAAAAGAAAACATTCCAATTATAAAAATAAATAAATACACTATTTAAAAAATATTTTCAAAGAAAACATTCCTATTATAAAAAAAGTTTTATTTGATTATTTGTAAGAAAAACATTCCAATTAAAAAAAAAACGTTTTATTTGAATGGGATTCCTAGCCTTCGGCTTTGCGATTTTTCCGATTCCCGATTCCGATTAATCGTCCCAACAATAATATATATATATATATATATATATATATATATATATATATATATATAATACACTTATTTTATATATATATATATATATATATATATATATTATATACACATCTCATCCTAATGTCAGCTATCAATTATAAAATTAATTATAGTCATCAAATTCACTTAAACACGCTACGATTTGTGCTTTTATTGCAATTAGGAGTAGGAACCTAGTGCCCCCCACCAATAAAACTTCTAAAAATCGACATCGAAAATTAAAAAAAAATGTTTTTAATACTAAGAGCGGGAACTTAGCCCCTATTTAAAACAAGAGGAGAAGGAACCGAGCTCCCCCCACCACTAGAGTAAATATCTATTTAAAAATATTTATTTTAAAATATTGAGTGGGGGGGTACTTAGCCCTATTTTAAACTAGAGGGATGGGAGCTTAGACCCATACTTCTCGAACGCTCATAATTTCCTGTTGTTGAATTGCCATTTTTCCTATTTATCCATTTTTGCTATTTTTACCATTGCCATTTTTACCGTTGCCATTTTTACCCTACATTTTTTCCTGCTGCCATTTTTACCGCTGCCATTTTTACCGAGCACCTACTAAAATAGGTTTGTTTTTCTTCTCTTGTTTTATTTTTTATTTTATGTCGTGAATAAATAGGATTTACCACTATTGCTTTTTATTTCTTTTTCTTTTTTTGGTCACATGGTCATGTTTTTGTGTTGTAGGCTATATATTTCTGTTCTTATAGCACCTCTTTAATACAGCAAAGCAAAGTTAAAAGTTTAGTACTGAAAAGTTACTTTTTTTATTTTATTTTACAGTCATTAAAAGGCTTACTGCCACTTCACGCTGAAACAGCTGTTCTTGTACAATCACCGAAGTTAAGCAACGTCGGGTGTGGTTAGTACCAAAATGAATGACAGCTTGGTGTTTTAAGCTTGGATGTGCGGGTGGTGTAATGATAAAATTTTTAATCAGAGCGCCGAGTTCCAATTCCCTCATTCTGTGGCAACGGGAATTTATATCCTATTATATTGCAGAGACTGTAAATAAATCTAAAAGATATACCTGTGTAGTAGTTATGTTCATTTTCTATCTATCTATCTATCTATCTATCTATCTATCTATCTATGTTCATTTTCTTTCTTTCTTTCTTTCTTTCTTTCTTTCTTTCTTTCTACCTATCTATGTTCATTTTCTTTCTTTCTTTCTATCTGTCTATCTATCTCAGTTTATTTTCTGTCTATCTATCTATCTATCTATGTTCATTTTCTTTCTTTCTTTCTTTCTTCCTTTCTTTCTTTCGTTCTTTCT